ATTGGCTGCGGAGCCAACAAAAGAGGCAGCGCTGTCATCCGAGGCGAGAGAGGGAGCCGGAGAGAGCCGAGGAAGAGAGAGAGAGGGAGGGAGCGAGGGCCCAGAGAGATGGAGAGACAGAGATATTGGGGTGGGGGAGAAGAGGGGACAGACAGACAAAGTCAGAGTCAGAGAAATCGAAGAAAGACTGAGAGATAAAGGGGAAGAGGCAGATCAGAGACACAGAGATAGAAAGAGCTGGAGGAAGAGGACAGAGACAAAGGTGGGGAAGACACAGAGAGGAGAGACTTAACTAAAGAGACAGATAAAGAAGGAAGGTGACAGGCATAACAAGTTGGGGAGTTAGAGTGGGGAGAATCAGAGACAACGATAGAGGAGGGAGACCAGAGGGAGGAGAGAGTTGTGGCTAGACAGGAGGGGAGATGGCAGTCTATGGACCAGATAACAGGAGGTCAGGGGTGCACAGAGATGGAAGCTGGGCAGAAGAACTGATGGGACGGAGACCAGAGCCCTGGGAAAGAGAGATACAGAAAAATCAGGAGGAGGAGGTGCAGGAGGCACAGAGACTGGGAGATACCAAGGGAGCTTCCTTGGTAGACACAGAGGAAGCAGACACAGAGGATCAGAGGAAGGCAGAGATAGGAAGACAGAGACTCCTGCGGAAGGAAGAACAGCCTAGCCCAAGGCTGACTCTCCTAAGTCAGCCTTGGTGGAAGCACGGAGAGCCCGATGGAGGCGGAGATGGAGGATTTGAGCCCAGAAGGGCCCTAGTTACCAGAAGCAGCCCCAAAAAGATGTTTGAAGGGGGTTTGGAGGGAAGCAGCAGGCTGGGCTCAGCAGGGGATCAGGAAGCACAGCTTGGGATGGAAGGATTGACATGGGGGTCAGTGAGGAACACTAGGAGAAGAGGCCAGAGACAATCTGAGAAGGTGGAGAGGTGGTGGGAAGCCCTGAAACAAGAGGAAGGCTTAGAGCTGGGAAGAATGTGAACTTGAAATTGAGGCTTGAAAGGGAATAAGGGAGTCAGAGGCTGGAACAGACAGGAACTGGGGACCATCAGGGGAGGAGTGGGAGGGATCAGGGCTGAGACCACTGTGCTTGCAGAGAAATCTTGCCTCTGAATTCCTAGATGTACTTTTGGACCTGCAGGATCTTCGAAGTCTGAGAAGGGGCTTGTAAGTCGCAGGGGTGAGGGTGAGAGAGAGGTCTGCTCTCCGTGCCTGAGCTGCAGACAGCAAGTTGTGAGGGGAGAGACCCAGATGTGGGATGAGCCCTCATCTTCAGATGTAACACGAGGTACCAGTAGCAGAGCAGAAGAGTGCTAAGGTACTAAAGTGTTCCTGGGGTACTTAACTTCTGGTTCTGGATACCTCTTCCCAGACCTCAGTTCCTTCAGGCTGATCTCTTGAGTCTAAAGCCCTAGAGGTCAATGGGCAAATAACCAACAGACTGAAAAGGTTCGAGGGCATCCGGTCAGATCTTGCTCGTTTCCTGGCACACACAGTGCTTATTGAATAAGTGGGTGACCATTATTGGGCTTCTCAGGCAGAACAGAGTGACACTGGTTTCCTTTTTGGATTAGATGGAGCACTGGGTGTAAGGACAGAGTTGGGCTGGGAAGCTGAAGTGGAATGAGAGAAGAAAGTGGGAGTCCAGATGTGAAGGAGGAAGGTGGGTAGGGATTAGGAGGACCAGGCTGGGGATCTTTGAAGAGATGACCTATTTCATGGAGAACAGGAACTAAGACCGCAGCAGAATGGAAAAAAAAAACTTAAGACAGCCCGTTCCCTCCACGACATGGACATCTCAACACTTCATCAAGTTTCTTCATCTATAAAATAGGATCATATTGCCTATCCAGCAAAATTGTAAACTCCTTGAGAGAAGAGATGGTGTCACCTCTTTCTTCCTTCGAGGAGGTGGCCCAGCTTTCACTTCTCCACCAAACATGTAGCAAGTGGCAGTCTCTGAGCAATGCAAAGAGCAATAAGACTTAGACCCCCTTTCAGGGAACAGAGTAGACAGGACACTGTAAACGATACTGGCTAGAACTCCAGGCCAGATGCCTCGTTGATATCTCCGTCTGGATGTCCCAAGTCACCTTAAACCTCATAGGTTAAATGTGACAGACAACTTCTTCTCTCCCCTAAATTGTGCCTCCATCCGGCTGTGTTTCATTTTAATGAATGACACTCAATCATCCAGGCGAAAAACCTGGATGTCACCTCCACCCTCTTTCTCTTGATTATCTCTGCATCTTTGCACAAATTGTTTCCTCTTCCAAGGACAACTCCGCCTCCTCCTGCCACTGCCCCCTCCCCCAATTTACTCTTTTTTCAGGTCTCAGTATAGATGAGATTTTAGACATGCTGTCCAGGAGTCCATTCCTGACTCCCAGGTCTAGAGTAGATGCTTCTCCTAGCTACATCTGCACCATCCTGTGTCTCACAGAGGTTAGTCACACAGCTTCTAGACTCAACCTCGGCTGCCTGGGTTCAAGTCCTAGCTCTGCCCCTTTTCTGGCTATGTGAACTTGGCTCTAGGCCTCAGATGCCTCATCTGTAAGATGAAGATAACAATACTGTACCTACTTCATAAGGTTCTGAGGATTAACTGCCTGACACACAGTTTTAAATGAGATAAGCAGCCATTATTACTACCCCAATTTATCAGCCTCACACTGTGAGACCCAAGGGAGTGGGAATATTTTTAGCAAAGTATTCCTTAGCTGCTTTGAGTAAAGAATGAGTGAACCGGGGAGGGTACAGCTCAAGTGATAGAGCACATGCTTAGCACGCAAGAGGTCCTGGGTTCAAGCCCCAGTGCCTCATCTATAAATAAGTAAGTAACTAAGTAAGTAAAACAGATCCAACCTCCCGCCAAAAAAAACCCAGTTAAAAAAAAGAATGAGGTCTGCTAACTGGATCGGGTCAGAGCCAGGTTGGGGAAATAAAACTGTGTATTTATGACCATAAGAAGTTATGGGTATCTGCCAAATACCAGCGAGCAAGAGTCAGGAACAACTTGTGTGACAAAAAGGATTTCCATCTTCTGGCTTCCTCCCGGCGGGTTCCAGGACTGCACTTAATCCAATGAGTGGGCAACATTGCCATCTGGTGGTGGATTCTTGAGCTTCTGATTCTTGGCCGTGGGACTAAAACCACTTTTTTGGTGGGGTTTTTTTGGGGGGGGCATGCTTTGCATATTTCCACTTTAGATTTCTATTCCAAGTTCTGTACCATAATTTATTAAGCTTTGTTCCTGTCTCCAACCCCTCCTAGATCTTGCCTCTTTCCTCGAGTTGCCTCAGGCTTGGTACTATTGGGTTCCCTTGGGTTGCAGGTAAACCCTGCGAGTCTCTTTCAGGAGCTTCAGATTTCCGGCTGCCGTAGACCCAGTCCAGAGGAGGGGACCCTGCTGTCTTTACAGAAAAGGAGTTGGGAGAGATGTGAACATTTAGATCTTTCCTCATCCCAACACAGGCTAACTGGGGTTTGGGGCCCCGCCCACTGCCCTGGTTTCCCAGGCAACTGTCTTCCAGCCAGGGGTGCCCCTTGGCGGTGTTACCTAGGCAACCTTCGGCCCGCCTTCTTCAAGGTCCTGACTGGTTCATAGCAAATGTGGGTTTGGGGCTAAGGGAGTCACTGAGCTTTGAAGAGTGTTGAGCTGCCGGGAGAGAAGCAGTGATGAGGTTTCAGCTGCTGGAGGAAAGAGGTGCTTGTGTAGCCTTGGGTAGAGGGTTTCTTATGTTACATCCCCAGGAAGAGGAACTGTAGGTCTTGGGAGCCGGTCACCAGGTTCGAGGCCAGAGACACCTGGACCACTCTCAGAGCTGCTGACCCCAGAACAGGGGAACCACGTTAAGGAGGAGGGACTCTTGCTATTCTGCACTCCTACCACAAAGGCCACTCGCACACCCAAATTGCCTTGTCTATCGGAGCTGGGCTCAGTGGGCAGTAACTCATGACCTCTAACCCAGCTCTTCTTGCTTCTTCCTCCTAAAGGCCTATTTCTAGAGTCAGAGGACTCATTCCCTGGCATCACAGGTCTTTCCAAGGAGGGGAAGGGCTGGACCATTGAGAGGAAGCTGGGGTGGGGGCTTCCCCAGGAGGGGCTTCCCTCACCCCTCCTCTCCCAGAAGGAGCCACTGGGAATGTGGTGTGGTGAGGCTATTCTGGGCTGGGGATAGTATGTTGGTGAAACGGACCCCTCCCAGGTCTCTGCCCACAAATCCTGAAGCCCCCAGAGAGGATCTTACTGTGTAATTACCATCCTCTCCCACACCACGTTCTCAACCCTATAATCATCCTGCCTGGATCGCCTGTCAGCCATGTTAACCTCCTTAACCCCAAGGCCCTCCAAGACAAGTTGGAGATTGGGAGGAAGGAGCCAAAGCATTCATTTTTAGAGGACGGGGGTGGAGGGGGGATACAAATGAGGAACTCTGAGAATCACTGGGTGTCGCCTCTTCATCTGGCCTCCCCGGAAGACACTCCGCCCCTGCACCATCCACTCCTCATCCTCTCAGGGCAGGCTCAGCCCTCCCAGTCCTCAGATGCACCCTCTTTCCACCTTCACTGGAGGTCCCCCTGGCCCTGCCCACCTCTTTCTGTCTTTCTCCTTCTCCAGGGCCTTGGTGGGATCCTACTGGGGGCAGTGGCCAAGGCCAGCCCCATGGCCCAACTCTGCTGGCAGGAGGCACCACTATTCCAGCTACTAGTCACAGAAAAGGAGGGGTCTAAGCACACAGTCTGCTTCTCCAGGGACTTCAAACCATTGGAGGATATGCTGACCCAGGAAGTGACAAAGCATAACCTGGGCTGCCAGGTGAGGGGAACTGGCGGAAAGCAGAAATGTTCAGAAGAAATCCAATCTTATGGAGAGAGCACAGAGTAGTGAAAATCAAGGTCATTGCTAGATGTGTATGTGTAGCAAGGGTGAGGGTGGGTGGATGGCCAGAAGGTCCGGCGGGGGTCTGGGAATGGGAACTGGAAATTAGAGATGTGAGGGCAGGGCAGACTGGTCTGAGCTCTGCCTAGGAGTGCCAACGACCTCCACCCATTCAAACCCTGCCTTGTCTCTTCACCCCAGTTCCCTAAGCTACAAGACTGCATCCCTGGGGAGGGTCCAACCAGCTGAGAAGAGCCTGGCTGAATGCCCCCAACACCTTCAGGACCCTGCTGCATCCCCCAGCCTGTACTAGGTGGCCCCTGGCATCCAGGGCCTCTCTTTGGCACTGCCCTCACCTCACCGTATTTTGAGTTGGTGCCTGCAGGTTATAATCAACGTCTTACTCATCTCTATAGTCCTAGTGCGTGGTATGTTTGGGCTTTCGGTAAGTGGAAGGATTGATACATGAATGAATGAATTCCTGAACTAACTGCCTCCCCCTGCCCACAGCATTGCCTCTTTCTCTTTTCTCCAGTGCCCTCGGCTGCTCCATCCCAGGTGGAGACCACTGCACTCCTGAGCAGGTCCTGGACCAGAGCCACAAGGCAGCCCAGCCGAGTTCCTGGCTCAGGGGGTGCATGAGGAGGCCACGGATTGGAGCTGTCTGTCCTGCCCAGTCACCGGCTGAGCATCTAGATTGACCCTGTGGGGAACAGTGACACAGGCTGGGAGGAGACTGGGACAGGAGTCAGGCAAGGTGGGGAGAATGAGGGGCCAGAGTTCAGGGGCTGGAAGCCCCAGGAGCAGGGAAAGGAGTGGGTAAGAAGGGAGGCAGAGCACTGGGGGGCAGTGGGGAGTGGGTTGGGGCTGGAGCTAGAACTCTGGGCCAAGGCCAAGGTGGGTAGAAGGGGCCAAAGGAGGCTGGGTTGTTCCTCCTGACCCTTTCCTTGGCCATCTTAAGTGGGGTTGAGTCCAGATATTTGATTTACAGAATCATTTTAGCTCCCATGAGTCAAGAAACAGGGTATGATAAAGCCTTTACTTTCTCAAAGCAATGAAACTGATCCCCGCATTTCTTCTCTGATCCTCACAACTGCCCTGGGAGGTGAGGACGGGGGTTCTCCTGCTGAACCAGGAGAAAGCTGAGGCTCAGGGAGGGTGAGTTTAGCCAAACTCACCCCACGCACGTGGGGCAGAACCTGTCTCTCACCAGGGCTTCTGACCAGAGGGGGCTTTTTGCTGGTGGCAGGCGTGGCGCACCCAGCACTGGCGTTGGTGGGCCAAGTCCCTGCTTCTGGCCTGCAGGTTGCTTCACCTCTCTGGGCCTTACTCACCTGGCAGCGAGGAGGTAAGCTGACTTTGGCAACGATGATGTTCCCTGGGCACCATGTTCTGGTGACCTAGTCTGGCCCAGACAGCTGGAGGGGTAAGAGGGGGCCCGCAGTGACTGGAGACCCCTCTCTAGGCCCCAGACTCCACCAAGGAGTACATCTCCAACCTCACCCTTGTTTTGATCTAACTCTGCCACTTGGGAGCTGCCATCAAGCAACGGGGCCTCCCTCATATCCAAAGCTGGGGCCTTTGGATTAAAATCCCAGGCCCCCAATTCAGATCCAATCTCTTGACCTTGAGTTCCAGCACCACCCTTCCTGCCCTCCCCTGTGAAGAGACGCATCCTCCTTTCTCCCCCCCACCCCCATCTCCTCCTCTTCCTTCTCCCCACCCCCTCTGTCCTGTCTGTGTGTCTGCTTCTCTCTCTCACATCCTCCAACCCCTCCTCTCATCTCTCCTGTATCTCCACGCCCTCTTCAACCCTCCTCAACTCCTCTCTCCCCTCTTCTTCCCTCCTCTTAGGCCTCCTCACTCCTTTCCCCCTCTCCCTCACCCCCACGGGCCTCCACAGGTGGAAGTCCCTAGGTCTCCTGCCAGGGCACCTGCGTCTAATCTCTGAGCCGGCCCCTCCCGTGGGGCTCAGGCAGGGGCCCTGCTGAGTGGAGGGGAGGCGGTGTCTGCAGCAGGCGTCAAACTCTGTTAGGGGGTCTGGGCTTGGGGTGCTGGCTAAAAGCTGCTGTGTGTTGTTGTCGCGCTGGGTCCAGCTGATGCCTATGCGCTCTCAGAAGACACTGCCTTCACTTGGGACACCTGTGGGCGCCCAAATATCTGGCCCCGGGTGGGGGTGTGGCAGAGTTAGAGGGCAGCCCAGCTCTGCTGTGTGGGGAGGGGGCCAGGTGCCCACCCCAGCTCGCCTCCACCAGCCAGTGCCAGGCACCCAAGGGACAGAAGCCTGAGCTGATCCGGTGGCTCGGTGGCATTTCCAGGTGCTAGCACTTGGAGCTGGTGCCGGAGGCTCTAAGGGTGTAATGTGAAGGGCAGGGCTGAGGTCTGCCACCTCCCCACCCAAGGTACACAGCGTTCTCTGCTGACTTTCCAGGCTAGGGAAGTGGGCTGTTCTTTTTCTTTTTTAATTGTGTTAAAATACATGTAACACAAAATTTGCCGTTTTAACCACTTTTGTGCTTACAGCTCAGGGGCTCTAAGTACATCCACTTGTTGTGCTACTGTCACTACCACCCATCTCCAGAAGCTTTCTATCCTCCCAAGAGGAAACCGAATACCCGAGGGAACAGTAACTCCCCGTTCCTCCCCACCCAACCCCCCCCCCCCCGCCCAGCCCCTGGCAAGCACCTCCCTACTCTCTGTCTCTATGAACTTGACCAGGAGTGGGCCTTCCTTGCCCTCCTCCTCCAACTCCACACGGGTCTGTTCTCCGGGGTCTCCTGGCCCCGTTCTTTCTCTCCCACTGTGTGACCACGCCGCTGCCACTACCCTGCACTGGCCACAGTTTGCTTCCAGCTGTTCCCCGGTGGGAGGGTCCCACTCCCATGACCTTCACCTCAGCTCCGCCCCTGCCCGCCTGGATCCCTCCTCAGGACTGGCAGGTGCTCCGGATCCTGGGATCCTGTCCGGACACTGGGCTGGAGGCCACCCCATCGAGTGGCCTTCTCTTGCTTCTCAGCGCTTCTGACCACTGTCCCCTCCTCTTGTCCTGAAGTTCTCTTTTCTCTTCGTGTCTGAGAGAGAGAGAAAAAACCATGGGCTTTGGAACCCCCAGAGATCTGGGTTCAAGTCCAAACATAGCCCTTTACTGGCTTGGACTCCGGGCATGTCACTTCCTGTCTCCGAGCCTCAGTTTCCTCATCTCTAAAACAGGACAAGTCGTACAGACCCTGCCAGGTTGCGGTGAGGCGTAAATGAGCTCATAGCTATAAGCGCCCAGGATGGTGCCTGGTAAAGTGAGGGGTCTGGCCCTGCGGCTCCCTTTCCCTTTCAGCCCCTTTACTGCTACTCACCCCTCCCCCATGTTCCTGAAACATAACGGTTTCCTGAAACTCTGCCTCTGTTTTCTTCTCTTGCTCTGGCCCTCACTCATCTATGGATTTAGATATCACTTTTTATCTTTAGTCTGACTGCTCTTCTCCTCTGAATTTCACATCCCCAACTCCAGGTGAGACATTGCCACCTGGCTGCCCCTTATGGGTCTCCTGCCTTGGGTGACCGCCACCTCCTCCCCTGGGTGCCCAGGTCTGGAAGCTCGGAGCCATCGCCAACTCTTCCCACTTCCTCTCCCCCTCCTGCGGGTAAGCATTCACCCTGTCCTTTGGCCCTCTGAAAGGCCTTTCCAAGGATTTTCGCTCATTTCCATGGTCCTGGCCTTCATCAGTTCTCCCTTGGACGTGGCAGTGATGGTCCACCTCCCCCCCAGGCATTCATTCATCCTCCTTCCAAGGTCGGCCCAATCCCAACCCCAAGATAACCCTCTCAGTGACTTCCCAGCACTCCCCATTGCTCTAGAACACATTCAGCAGAGCCATCTCAATAGTCTATCACCCAGACTGTCTTCCTTCTGCCTCATTTATTGTTTTGTGAACTATTCCAAAGTAAATTACAGATATGACATTTCACCCTTCAATACTTTAGTATGCATCTTTAAAAAATAGAGTAATTGAATTCAAGACATCAGCCTCCAGGGGTGTTCACATGGCTGAGTGCCCCCCAATATGCCTGCCACCAAGGTCTGTGAGCTGCAGCTGCCCTCGCCTCTCCAGGAGTCTCTCCAAGACCAGCAACCATACCTGAGAGAGCAAAGTCCTCCACAGGCTGAGCCATGAGAAAAGGTGGAGCTGTCCATTGCTGGCGGCTTCTCCCTGCTCACCAGTGAAGTTTGCAGCCAAGATTGATCTTGGAGTCTGATTAAGAGTAGGGTTGAGGCTGAGGAAGCTGGAAGCACACGCGATCACTCTAGGAAGAATGGCTTCTTACCTCATGGCACCTGAAGGGATGCAGTGTCAGTACTCTGGTCAGTACTGAGGTGAGATGACAGTCTCTAAGACACACAGTGTCCATCTTTGCTCTCCTCTCCCCCTCTCCCTGGCCGCAGCCCTCCCTGGCTGTGCTGCAGCACAGAGGGTGTCCCTGGCACAGCTGCTCCTCTCTGGGTTGTCTGGGGAGCCAGCTCTGCCCTGGGTTTGTGCTTGCTTGTCACCCTACCCCAGGTCTAACCTTCTCGAAAAAAAGAGATGGTTCAAGAGAGTTTTTTTAAAAAAAAAGGGTAATTTTCCTATATTATCATCAGAGCTAACAAAATAATTTTTCTCATGTCTAATCCTCAGCTTATATTCACATCCTGCCCAGTTATTCCCAAAATGTCTTTCACAGTTGGTTTGTTCAGGCAATTATACTTGGTGGTTACGTGTCCAAAGTTTCTTCATATTGACTTCAGACCACCTTCCCCCTTGTTCATCTGTCACCACATCCTTTCTGAGCCCTGTGAGTCAGCCAACCCCAACCTACCGTGGACTTTTTTTAAAAATTGATATAGTTGATTTACAATGTTGTGTTAGCTTCAGGTATGTGTGTATGTGTGTATATGTATATATATATATATATATACACACACATATATATATATACACACATACACACACACACACACACACACACCCCCCACATCTTCTTTATCCAGTCATCTGTTGCTGGACATTAAGTCTGCTCCCGTGACTTGGCTATTGTAAATAGTGTTTGTATAAACATTGGGGTGCATGTGTCTTTTCTAAATTAGAGTTTTCATCTTTTCCAGATACATGCCCAGGAGTGGGATTGCTGGATCACATGGTAACTCTTATTTTTAGTTTTTCATAGTCGCTGCACCAATTTTACATTCCCACCAACAAAATAGGAATCTCCACACCCTCTCTAGCATTTATTATTTGTACTTTTTGGTAATGGCCATTCTGACAGCTGTGAGGTGATACCCCATTGTAGTTTTGATTTGCATTTCTCTAATAATTAGTGCTGTTGAGCATTTTTCATGTTCCTGTTGGCCGTGTGTATGTCTTCTTTTTCAGGGGGGGAGGTAATTAGGCTTATTTATTTATTTATTTATTTATTTATTTATGTTATTATTTCAACACACATTCTACCACTGAGCTATACCCTCCCCCTATTGCCAATGTCTTCTTTGGACAAATGCCTATTTAGGTCTTCTGCTCATGCCATGGGCTTTTAAAACTACTCTTTTTTATACTTTGCCCTTTCCTTGTCCCTGGAACTGAGCATTTGCCCTTTTATTCTCTCAGGTCACCTTGGAGAGCACCACTCACCTCTGTGAAATCAGTTTTTTCTTCTTCCTCCCTGAGTTCGTGCAGCTGTCTGGCTCTGGGGAGTGCCTCTGTTTACAGTGTGGGCTCTGTCTGCAGGCAGAGGAGAGGGCCACAGTCCTCCTCGCCTCGCTGCCCCTGAGCCTAGCACATGCCTGGCAGAAACGGTTGGATACTTCTTTCTTCAGCATCTTTGCTCCTCCTCCACAGTCTGCCTGCGGGGCTAACTAGGGAGCAAGGTCCGCTAGGGCTTGGTGTGTCTCGCTGGAAGGTTGTGGTCTGGAAACTGGTTCTCAGCCCAGCCCAGATCTTCTTCCTTTTGCTCTTACAGTTTCTTTCCGCCTTTGCGTACACACACCAAAGCTCAGGAAATGGTTCTTCAGGCAGGACCAGAAGAACCTAAGGTGTGGGGTCCAGGCTGGGCGGGCAGGAGTGTGGTTGTTCGTACTGCCCCTGCCTGTTCACACAGCTCCTTCTGGGGACGACCATGGCCCACCGGGAGGGAGGCAGCTTGAGCCCACGCCCTGAGCTTCCAGTCCTCTCCTGGCTTTGCCCTCTGGGCTGTCCCCTAGGATGGGAGGGGAAGACCCAGAAGATAGATGCCTGCCTGCCTCAGTGCCCTCGCCCAGGCCTCTGAAGGCTGATCTATGAGCAAGCGGTGGGAGCGACCTCCGCAATCCTCCCCCAGAGGGAGGGACCTAACTCTGACGCGTCATGATTGACTGCGTGGGATGGTTCTGAGAAGGGCTTCCTCCACTTCTCAGCTCACTACTCTTGAGTCCCAGAAAATGGAGAAGGGACTAAGAGAGGGATGGGAACACCTACTCTAGAACTTTGGGGGACTCCCAAGACGTGAGGCCAGGGACTTTCTGACAGTGTTTATTCAGGCCCCACCCGATCCCAGAGATCCAACAGCGCCCTCTGCTGACTCGGGGAAGGGGTTGGGGGCTGGAACCGAGTTGGAGCGAGAGGGAGTGGGCTGTGGGTGGAGGGTGAGGAGACCATCTTGTCACCTTGCCTGAACTCTGCGGCCCGGACCCGGCGCTCAAAGGATAACTCTGGGCCGCTCGTCCCTCCTCTGGCTCTCACATGCCTCCTCTGCTTCCCTGAGCCAGAAGAATCAGGCGGCGCTCCGTCGCGCTCTCCTACCCTCAG